CAGTTTTCCATAAGTTGACAGTACTGATGTTACTCCTTCTGATGTCCCCCAGACACTTTGGTCAGGGCATCCTACGTGTGCTCCAGTGTGAGTCTTCTTCTTCCCCCTGCCACAGTCCCCTGTCAGATGGGGCTCCAGGGACGGGTTTGGGTGCAGTTCCAGTGAACACGAGGCTCTCCTGCTCAGGGAGGGATTTGCTTTCCATGACAGAGCTGCTGCTGAGTGAAGCTGCTCCACTTAATCCCTGCAGGGCTGGCTTTGGGATTTGAGCAGCCTTTGATGTGCTGGGAGATGAAAAAACAGCCCTGCCTCCTCCTGCTGATGGCTGAGATGCCTTTGCTGCCGTGCCATTAAATGATTTCCTTTCAGAGATCATTTCTAAATCACAGCCCAGGCCCATCATCCGCCTTTCTCTGCTGAGGGGATGGCTCCTTTCTCCACGAGAACGACATGTCTGCTTTTATTGCTATTTATTGCTGGTTTATTGCTCCTCTATCAGCCAAGCCGCTGAGAAAGTTACTCTGTGGAAATTCCTTTGCATCTTACAGCCATATTCCCACCCTTCTGCATCATTCCATTTGCATCACTGCTGCAGAGCTGGGTGTGTAAATTAATTGTTTACTGACTGGAGGAGAGACAATAAATTAATAAACCCAGGACACTGTTGCTTTGTGTCAGTGCAGGATCCAGGTGAACACTCCAGGCAGGGCTAGCAAGAAAGTTCTGAGAAAGGAGGTTTTGTTGTTTAAGAAAACAAAAATCATTGAATGTCCTGGAAGGGTCTGATACGAATTTGGGTGAAACCAAAGCTTGCCAAAACCCATGTTAACAATGTATTGCATAACTAGTGCAGATTATTGTGCTCAGGGGAGAGAGAATTCCCCAAACAGCATCAGCAGTCAGAAAAAAAACCAGCCCTAAACTCATTGCTATTATGGAAAAAAAGGGAGAAAACTTTGGCAAAATGCTAAAGGAACATTTGGGCAGTGTAGGATCACAGAAATGCTCGTGCTGGCTCAGACCAAAGCGCAGCCTCTGGTGCAGCCCCTGCCAGAGCCAACAGGAGATGCTGAGATAAAAGCAGCAGAGGGAAGCTCTGTGAGACTCTCCCAGCCCACTTTCCCAGCTTCCAGCACTCAGCATCCCAAGGACTTCCTGAGCTGCCGGGGCTGTCCTTGGGTTTAATATCCCCCAATGGATTTGTTTCACATGCTCTTGTCCAAGCTCTCTCGGAGCTGCTGCCGTGTCCCTCAGCAGGATCCTGGGGGCAGCAGTGACCATGCTGGGGACCCCGCAGGGGACAGAGAAAGGGGCCACCCTGGCACTGCTGCAGCCAAAGGTGTAAAACTCAGCACTCTGGGCAAAAGAAACTCAAAGCTGCTTTAGAGCTGTGCCCTCCGTAGGGCCTGCTCTGTGCTGGCAGGACAGGAGCACGAAGCAGCTGCTCAGAAGGAATCTGAGGATGTTCCCAGTCCCAGCTGGGGAGCAAAAGTTGATTTTTGGAGGGTTTTGGGGTCAGTGGGTAAATGTTGGTTTCCTTGAAGGCAGTGGGATTTTCTCCTGTGATTTCAGCAGTGCTGACACTGGTTTGGAGTGGAAAGCAAAAAGCTGGATGAATTTGGTTTGGGGACATGAATGCAGACAGGACTGAAGTATTTTATAAATTCTTCCTGAATTGGTAGAAAACAAATCAGGAAAAATAAGTCAATGCCTCCAAGATACATTAGACCCTTTGTTATTGAAGTTTGATGAACATAAAGTCTCCCTTTATGTTTTTTCCTGGTTGAAATATTTTTTTCCAATACCCAGTCCACCGGTGTAAATGTATTTGTGTGTATATATATATGTATATATACAGATCTGCATGTGTGTTCTTTGAGGGAGCACTGTAGATCTGGCACAAAGTGCAGTCAAACCATATCTTGCTCTCCTCCTTTTCCTGGTGGCACAGTCGTTTGAAAACAGGATTTTCCCCTCCTCGTTCCCTCCCCAGCTCCCAGCAAGGAACAGCAGGAGGGGTTTGCTGATGGCAGCGCAGCTTTCGGCCCCTGCCCTTTGCATTTCAAACCCTCCTCGGGAATGGTCTTAATCACCAGGGTAGGGAACAGGAAGCGAGTCCCTAAAATTGTGATGAGAGAGCAAAATGTGGGGTTAAACGAGTTCATCCTCACAAAGACATACAGAGGAAATGCTGCCTTTTTGTGTAGTTGGAAAGGGTTTGTCTTGAGAGGGATTTCGTCCACCTAGCCCGAGGAAAGGGATGAGCAGAGCCCTGAAGTGCTGGGTCAGTCGATGCCACAGCTAAATGAGCATTCGATCCCTTTCAGTCCATCCCTGCCTGGCCAGAACAGTTTTGGCCAGGTTTGAACAGTGCACCTTCCCAAAAGAAGTGTCCAAGGAGCAGGGAGTGATTTTTAGTGATGTGCTCTTCTCTCTGGGCTTTCTCCACCGTTTCCAACCCACGGCTCTCAGCCAAAACTGCCTTTGTTACCCACAGACTGCTCTTTTCCCTGGTTTGACTTTCAGATATTTCTCCCCACGCCTAAGAAGCTGCTTTTGGCACCTTTTCCAGACGCGGAGCTGGGGTGGGTTTGCTGTCCCACGCTCACGGAGGGGCTCGGGAGCTGTCTGTGACCCCCAGCCTCCCCGTGCCTCCCCCGCCGTGATCCCGCTCCTCCCAGGGAGCAGTCTGGATGTTCTGTGCAGAAATAGCAGCCGAGACCTCAGACCCGCAAACCCAGGTCAGAGAATGGTCTGGATGGCAGCCCTGGGGACAGGACCTTTCCAGGACCTTTCTCTCTCAGCCCCGAGCGCGGGGGCTCCTTCAGGCACCGGGCCCAGGACAGCCCCCCTCAGCCTCGTTAGCCAGGAATGTTCTGATGGTGGCGCAGATGTTCCAGCCCTCCGGATAGCACCGACAGGCGTCACGGGCTGCACAGGGACGGCAGCAGCAGAGGAACTGGCGGGATTTCTCGGAGGGGAAGGGAAATCGCATCCTTTGGAATCTCGTTTCAGCCGCTGCCTCTCCCCCGAGCCGGTCGGGTGCTCGGGGGCCGCTGCCTGTGCCGGGACCCCTTCCGTGAGCGAGGAGCCCGTGCTGCGGGAACACGCCTCTGCTTGCCAGGAGAGAGGAGCCAAGCACGCTTCCCCAGCTCCCTCTCCCAAGATTTACAGTGCCGGTGGCTGGATGCCGAGTTCCCTCGTTTGTGCAACAATGCGGGAGCTGCTGCGGGGAGAGGGGAGCGATGGGGAGTGCTGTGAAGGCGCAGGAGAGTGCAGGTCTCCTGGCGAGGTTATTCGGGAGCTGGGGCTGCGCTCTGTGTGTGGGGGGGTTGTTTGAACACATTGGCTGTGCTCGAGGAATGAGCGAGGGCGGCAGCACAGCCACCCCTTCCCTCCCGAGCACCTGGGTCACAGGATCCCAGAATGGTTTGGCTTGGAAGGGACCTCAGAGCCCACCCAGTGCCACCCCTGCCATGGCAGGGACACCTCTCACTTCCCAGGTGCTCCCAGCCCCAGTGTCCAGCCTGGCCTTGGGCACTGCCAGGGATCCAGGGGCAGCCACAGCTGCTCTGGGCACCCTGTGCCAGGGCCTGCCCTCCCTCACAGGGAACAATTTCTGCTCAGTATCCCACCTAACCCTTCCCTCTGGCAGTGGGAGCCATTCCCTATGTCCTGTCCCTCCATCCCTTGTCCCCAGTCCCTCTCCAGCTCTCCCAGAGCCCCTTCAGGTACTGGAAGGGCTCTGAGCTCTCTCTGGAGCCTTCTCCAGGCAGGACAGCCCTAACTCTGAGTGTTCTCCAGAGCTGTGGAAAATCACATAGTTTAGTGAAAAGTTTCTCAGTTCTGCCCAATTTGGCTCTCGAGTGCTGAAAAAGGTCGACTCCAAGCGCTGAATCCCTTCAGCTCAGCCAGACGCTCGTTCCCCAAACCCTGTGCCATGGATCCCGTCCGGGGCTGCACAACCCCCCAGGGCTGGGCGAGGGGACCCCGATGTGCAGAGCTCTGTCCCCCGGGCCCGGCCGGTCCTGCCCGCACCGCCCGGGGCTGCCGCGCCCACGGGGGGGCTCGGAGAGCGGGGCACGGCAGCTCCCCCCGCCTCGCTGCAGGGCCGCCTGGCAGCGGGGGCTCGGGAGAACGGGCTGCTCCTCTCCTGCCCCCTCAATCCCCTCGCTGTGGGGCAGGAGCCGCGTCCCGGGAAGGCAGCGGCTCCGCGCGCGGCTCCCGGGGGAGGCGGCAGGGCCGGGGCCGGGCGCTGCCCCGTTTATAGGAGGGCGGCGGGCGGCTGCTGAGCCCTCCCCGAGCCGCAGACGCAAACGGGGCGGTGGCCCCGGTTAAAGGGGAAACTTGACAGCGCCGCCGCCCGCTCCGCTCCGCGCCCGCTCCGCCGCCGCCAGCGCGCTCCGCTCCGCCGCGATGTGAGTACGGAGCGCCGGGGAACGGCCGCAGCCGGGAACTCGGGCTGGGGAGACCCGCCGGGGGCCGCAGTCGAGGGGGGGGAGCAGCACCCCCGCTCTGGGGGCTCTCCAAGGGAGAGAGGGGTCAGGGCAGCCCCCTCCCCTCTCCACCGAGGGGGAGACGGGCTGGGGAAGGTCCCCCCAGCTCGGGAGAAGGTCCAGGAGACCCTCTGCCGGGGGAGCCGAGGGGAGATGGGCTGAGGACAGCCCCGGAGAAGAGGAGCCCTGGCAGCCCAGTGCGCTGGAAGGGGCAGGGGCTGACGCCCCCTGCTCCCCGCCCCCTGCCCTCTCTCCGGGGGTCGCCAGGGCAGATGAGCCCGGTAAAATTCCCCCTGGGCTGGGGGCCGGCAGAATCACCCACACTGCTCCCATGGGTGGGTGGGCAAGGCACCCCCGCCCGCCTTTGCCCCGGAGCGGAGCGGGGCGGCCCCTCGGGTGCGATGAGCCGAGCCCGAGCCCTCCCGCCGGGCGGGGCCGGGAGCGCGTTCCCTTGGGAGAGGGGCAGCGGAGCCCTCTCGGGGAGAGGGGCCGGGGGCGCCCCGTGGGGACCGCCCCCCTTTGAAGGTCCCCGGGGAGGGGACTGGGAGGAGCCCCCTGGGTGGCACAGGGAGAGCACGCTCGGGGGAAGGTCTCGAGGGGCCCCCGGGGGATATCGGGGAGCGGGCAGAGCGCTCGGACCCCTCTCCGTCGGCGGGGCCCGCGAAGAGAACCCGAGCGCCAGGAACTGCCCCAGCAGCATCCCCCTCGCCGGGCGGGGCAGAGCGGAGCGTTCCTACTGTCCCCCGGACAGACAGACACACGCACTCAGCATCACCCCTGTCCCGCTGCAGCTCTGCCCTCCACCGCCGCCAAGATGCTGCTGCTGCTGCTGGGGATCATCGTGCTGCACGTCACCGTGCTGGTGCTGCTCTTCGTGTCCACCATCGTCAGTGTGAGTACGGACCCCCGCCCCGGGCTCCCGCCCCCCACGGCCGCGGCGTGGCAGGAGCAGGACGGGTTATTTCTGTTTGTGGCTGGTTCTACAGCCCGGCTGTTAGCAGGAAGCCTTTACTGGCTGGGTGCTGGTCTCAGTAACGGTGGGATTTGGGGATTTGGGGGTTTGTGCTCTCAGGGGAAGCTGGTGGGACGCTTGGCTGTGTTCTGTGGTGGTGCTCAGGGCATCCACAGAACAGAGTGGTACAGAGACACAAGGGCTGTTGGAAACCATCTCCTCATCCTCCCCAGGCTGCTTCACATCGAGGAGCAGCCTCGGAGCACCCCAAATCCCCTCCTTTGGGGTGATGCTGCTCTCTCCTTTCGCGAGGGAGCTCCACCTGCTACTGAGCTCCAGGACCCGAGCAGGCAGGCCGAGCAGAGCCCCTGCACGGGGCTGGCTGGGCACTGACTCCCCCTGCCCAGCTCTCCTCCTCTGGGGCTGGGAATAAGGCACTGCCTCTTTTTCCTAACCCAGCTTCCAAGGCTGGATCTGTGTGAGCAGCGGCAGCACCGAGGGCTGGATGCAGCACCGAGGCTTCCCAGCACTGTCCCGGGCTGCAGCCCAGCGAACACGTCAGCTGCTCGGGAGAGGCCGCAGTTGGCTTTGGGGCAGTTCTGTGGAGCTGGTGGCTTCCAAGCTTGCTTCACCAGGGGCTTCTTTCCCGGTTATTTTTTTCTTTTTTTCTTTTTCTTTTTTTTTTTCTTTTTGTGGTAACAGTCACGGAAAACGTTACAAAAATCTTCCGAGCCGTTAGGAATCACGTGGAAGCATTCAAATATCCCGGCCAGGCAGCGGGCGAGGCCCGGGGAGGGAAGCGCGGCCCCGCGGGACTCTCTCCGCGCTTAGAGCGCATAAAGAGCTTCTGTTCCTGCGCCGCGGGGCTAAAGCGGCTAAAAGCAAATACCGGCACTGACTTTCCAAACCCCTCTCGACGGAAAAGCGTGTCCCTGGGAGCGCCTGGCGGGCGGGCAGGCGCGGGCTGCGGCTGCTCGGTGCCGGAGCCCGGGGGGACACGGCCGGGGGGGCTCTCCTGCTCACGGGCTGTGTCTGTCCCGCAGCAATGGCTGGTGAACGGCGAGCACGCGGCAGACCTGTGGCAGAACTGCACCTCCGGCAGCCCCTTCCAGTGCCTGGCATCCTCCTCCAACGGTGAGTGCCCCCCGGGATCGGGGCTGTGCCCCCGGGATCGGAGCTGTGCCCTGGGATCGGGGCTGTGCCCCCGGGATCGGAGCTGTGCCCTGGGATCGGGGCTGTGCCCTGGGATCAGAGCTGTCCTCTGGGATTAGGGCTGTGCCCCCATGGGTCAGGGCTGTGCCCTGGGATCGGGGCTGCCCTCCGAGATCAGGGCTGCTCCCTCTGCCGCCTTCGTTCTCCCCCTGGCACCTATGGAATCAAGAGGGATTTGCCACCCGGGTTGTTTAGGATTCCTCCTCGGATTTTCCTTTCCCCATCCCCTTGCCTGCCGTGCTCTGCTGTGTCCCGGTGTGGGGACACGGGGCTGGCCCGGCAGGGGGGGATTGCTCTCGGTCCCCTCCCAGTCCCTGAAGCTGTGACGGGGCTTAGGACCAGGACTAGACCTGCTGGCCACGGCTCTGCCGCGGGCTGAGGGGCAGCCCCTGGCAGCCAGGGCAGGGTGGCACGCTCAGCTGCCCTGGCGTGTGTCCTTTTGGGGGGGTCTCCTGTTATTAGCACGTTTATCTTCTGGAATTCACAAACACAAGGTGTTCCTTCCTGTGACAGGCCACTGCGCCTTGTCACCCTGCTGGAGGCTCTGTGGCTCTTTTTGGAGCAGCTCCCTCTTGCTCTGCTCGTGAGGGGTTTGAAGGATGCACACGGGGCCCTGAGCACACCCCTGGAGACCTGTCCTGGTTTTGCGCTGGCACAGGCTGGGGTTTGGGCACAGCCCTGGCCCTGGGCTGGGCTCTGGGGGCTGTGGGGGCTGTGCCCTGCATGCCCTGCCCCTGCACGGCCACCGCGGGGCCCAGCTGGGTGAAGGCTGATGTCTCACTGGGTGACATCACCCCTGAACGGTTTGCTGAGGTCAGCAGGGGAGGACAGTGCTGAGACACGCAGTTCCCAGGGTGACCAGTGGCACCAGGGACACAAAATCCATGTCAGAGATTTGGGCGAGCCCGTGCCTCAGTTTCCCTGGAAGATAGAGCTAATGCCAGTGGTGCTGGGGCCAGCATTTGTTTTGTTAGCCTGGCTTGTGCTTTCCTGGGAGAAGAGATTGTCCCAGTGCAAGCCCCAGTGACAGCAGCCGTGAGTCCCAGCGCCGTCGCGGGGACACGGGCACACCGTGCCGGGGCAGGAGCACAGCGATGCCGTGCGGGCCTGGGGAGGGGGCACGGCCACACGGGGAGCATTCCGTGCTCCCGGAGAGTCCCTCGGTGCCGGGAGGTTGTGACAGGGTTTTTGGAGACTCCATCAGAGCCCCCGTCCTTGGGAGCGCACCACTCGCGTTACCCCGTGGGGAGGCGATGCCCTGCCGTGTCCCCGCGCTGTCGCCGCTGTCCCCAGCCCTGGTTTCCCTGGCGCTCCCCGCCCAGCGCAGGTCTCTGCTGACTCCTGCTGGTGTCGGGGCCAGCGGGAGCGGCTGGCTCGCGTCCCGGGCGCGGAGCCCGGGGCTGGGGGCTCTTTCAGCCGGGGGCTCTTTCAGCCGGGGGCTCTTTCAGCCGGGGGCTCTTACAGATGGGGGCTCTTACAGATGGGGGCTCTTACAGATGGGGGCTCTTGCAGCCGGGGGCTCTTGCAGCCGGGGGCTCTTGCAGCGTCGGCAGCCCCGCTCCAGCGCCAGTCATGCGAGCTGTGAAACTGCTGAGCCCCCGATTGGCATGAAAGGCAGCGCTTGCGCCCGGCAGCCCCGGAGCCTCTAAAGCCTCCCCAAATCTTTGGCTTTTCAAGCCCGCCCCGCTGGTTCTGGATGTTTACAGGACGCTCTGCCGGGGCTGGCAGGGCTGAGGGGGCCCTGTCCCAACGGGGCTTGGGTGGTTTCTGCACACCCGGCGGTCCTGCCGTGGGCTGGGAGTGTCCTCTGCCCGTTCCCAGAGCCTCTGCAGCCTTTCCAGCGCTGATTTTTCATCATTAAAGGGACGATAGCAGCGCTGATCCTGTTAAATGCAGCTGAGTTGGGGTGACAGCCCTGACGCAGTGGCGGGTGGGGCGGGATGAGTCCATCTGTAACGTCCCTTCCAACCCAAACCAGTCTGGGATTCCGGGATAAAGTGCCCCAGTGAGCTGCTCTGTGAGCAGAAGTTCACTATGCTCTCTGACAGCTCTCACTTACCCAAAGGCTCTGCTCTGGCACCAGGACCAGGAGGTTTTGCTTGGACAAAGCTTGTGCCCCATTCCCCTGCAGCCAGGGTGTGGGAGCAGTGCTGCTGAGGTCCTGCCTTCATCTTGTGGGACCCTGGATGCAGGCTCCAGAGCCCACCGCTGCTCTAAGAACATGAGATCAAAGGATATTTCCTGGGCTTATGTAGGGCCTTTCAGGTCTGTTTGTAAAAACAACAAGGATGCCACGTGGTCTCCTTTCCAGCAGGTCCTCCCTCCCTGTCCCTGCTGCAGGAGCTGCTGTCAGCCACGCTCTGGAGCAGCACTGAGGTCACAGGGCAAGGACACTGTGGCAGAGCCCCCTGCGAGGCTCCTTCCTCATCCTCACCCCCTCTCCTAGGAATCTGCTTATTTTCAAAATTAGGAACCATCCCATACAAATACCACACACCATCCTTGGTGTCAGCTCTCAGAACAGAAGCTGTGAGCTCCAGAGAGCCATAAGAATTCATTTCCCTGTGCCCAGGATGGTAATGAATGGTTAATCCTGGAGGGCCCTTGCTCTGGGGAACAGCAAGGAATCCTCCTTGGGAATTTTGGCACAACTTCCAGTCTTCACATGGAGGGCAGGTTTTGCTCTGGCCATCACGGTGGCCTCTGGGGTGTGGTTATTTCTTCTCTTTTCAGAAGGCAGTGGGACTCAGTGAGTGGAATTTGGGAATTAGACGGTGCAGGGTCACCTGTGCTCATCACGGGTGGGGATTTTGGGGAGTGGTGATGCTGTGGTGCCCCCTTGGTCTCAGCTGAGCCTCGCCTGTCCTGTCACACCTTTCCTTAGTGACCCTGCTGTGGATGCCAGCAGGACTTGCTCTGGTTTGCCCTGGGCAGGCTCAGGGCTGTGCTCCTCACCCTGCAGAGCCTCCTGGGGATGGGGCAGCGCCAGGGCTGGGCACACAGCACTTCAGCAGCCCCTGGGCACGGCGGGTGGGTGGGCTGAGCTCCCAGCTCCCAGCTCCCTGGCAGAGTGCGCGGGCTGGGCCATCCCAGCCGGAGCCACGGGCGCGTTCCCGCTCCCTCCCGTGCACAACGCCCGCTCGTCGCTTTGATTTTTGCATCTGCTGTTAGATAATGCTTTTTTTTTTCTTCAAGAGGCCGAGAACTATGGAAAAAATGTTGCAATCTTTGCTTGGTTTGCGCTGTCAGACATTCCTGGAAAGGACTTATCTGAGGAATTCGGCCCGGAGTGCGGCCTGTGGGTCGGCAGGGCCGCGTGCCAGCCGGGCCCGGCAAGTGCTCTGCAGGAGATCCCAGCCCAGACCTCCAGGCTGCCATGCTTTTTCCTCCAAAAATGGCCTTTTCTTCCCTCAGCTGGATGCTCTGTGCAGGAAGGAAGACTTTTCTGCCGCGTTCTGCTCTGGTTGTGGTGGGAGTGCTGGAAGGGGGCCGTCCATGGGGATCCCCCACACTTCTACAGCAGCAGGAGATGTTTCTCCTCTTGGCTTCTCACAGCTTCTCCCGTGGCTGGCTCGTCCACAGGCAGGCTGCTGGTTTGGGGCTGTGTTAAAGGGAAAAGGAACCCCTACACCTTGGGAAGTGCCCGATCACTGAGTGCCAGGGCGCTGTGGTGCCCACGCTGCTTTGCTGATGTGGTGGCCACAAGCAAAGCCCAGCTGGCTGCCCAGAGCAGATTTCATTAACGTTGTTAATAATGGGTGATACTGCCTTAACTCGGGCAGGGCTGAACCCCCTCTGCCAGCCTGGGGCACTGAAACTCATCCCTTGGTGTTCTGGAATCACCTGAGGGGCATCCATAGGATCCCAGATGGTTTGGGTTGGGAGGGAGCTGAAATATCAGCCAGATCCACCCCTGCCATGGCAGGGACATCTCCCACTGTCCCAGGTGCTCCAGCCCCAGTGTTCAGCCTGGCCTTGGGCACTGCCAGGGATCCAGGGGCAGCCACAGCTGCTCTGGGCACCCTGTGCCAGGGCCTCACCTCCTTCTGGGTAAAGAATTTACTCCTAAAATCTAAAAATCTCCTATTCCAAGGGAATATTTTATATTTCAGATGAGTTTGTCCCATAACTTTCTTGCCTTCAATAGGAAAGGGATTTCCTCTGCTTAAAACCAATTTTTTATTGTTGCTTGCTCTTCTTAGGAAGAGCATCTGATAAGGAGAGGTTGGGAGCTGGTTTTTTCTCAGCTGCTCCAGATGTCTTTGGCTCCCATTTTTTCTGTGGGAGGGGGGCTCAGGCAGCCTTCCCTGCCAAATTTGTGTTCTGGCCCACAGAGGAATGGGAGAAGAAGGCAGCATGTGGCCAAAGGATGGCTGTCAAACCAGAAGAAAGGCTGGGGGTGTCCCCTCCAGAATGTGCTGCTGGAAAACCCTTCAACCTGCATTTTTTGGCATTGGTGAGCCCCTGGGATGTCCCTGTGGGCTCAGGGTGAGTGACCTGCCCCAGGCTCGTGGGCCAAGGCACACTGCTGCCCACTCCTGCTGCCTGGACTGGCCATCCCTGGAGCCTTGGAGGATCTGGGCACGGAGCGATGGATCTGCCCCTCAGCACAGGCCAGCAGGAGGTCAGAGCTGCCACGACGAGGGAAAGGAGCTGCCTTGGGCTTTGTGGAGCTGTTGGAAGGAGTTTTTCGTGGTGCCAGCAGCTTTCTGCTGCCCCAGCTGCCTCGGGAGCGCCTCTGCAGGATGTGAGCTGCCGTGGGATGTTGGAGCGTGGCAGCTCTGGGGAGCTCTGCACGGCCTGGCCCCGTGGACTTCTTGGATGGAGCTTCAAGGAGAAGGAGAGGGAGGAGAGCCGAGAGGAAAGGAGGAGAGGAGAAGATTTGAGAGGTTTGAGGGGTTCATCTCCATCTGAAGGAGCTCAGGAGAGGAGCAGGAGGCCTTGGAGGACTCGGGGCGCTGTGTTCAGTCCCTGCCTCCCTGCAGCCCCAGGGCTCCCTCCTGCTCACCCTCCACCAACAGCCTGGGAGCTCTTTAGAGCCCCCTTTGCCCCTGGGATTTCCAGGAATCCCGGATCCAGCACAGCGGGGTGGCTCCCAGGGCATGGAGGTGGGAGCACTGGAAGGGAGCAGCGGGAATGTCTGGCAGGGCCACAGCAGGACAGGGCTGCCCTGGATGGGATTGCCCTGGAGCTTCCCGGGGACAGCGCCGTGCCCAGCTGGGCACACGGGAGGAGAGGTCCTGCAGGGCAGGAGAGGGGTCCTGCAGAGCAGGAGAGGGGTCCCAGCAGGAAAACTGTCACCTGCAGGGCAGGAGAGCTGTCCCTGGAGGACAGGAGAGCTGTCCCTGCAGAAGTGTCCCAGCAGGGCAGGAGAGCTGTCCCTGCAGAACATGAGAATTGTCCCAGCAGGACAGAAGTGTCCTCAGCTGGACAGGAGAGCTGTCCCTGCAGAAGTGTCCCCAGCAGGACAGGAGAGCTGTCCCTGGAGGAGAGCTGTCCCTGCAGCCCTGGGCAGAGGGGCAGGGCAGGGCAGGGCAGGGCAGCCCCAAAGGCACTGGAGCTTTTCTGGCCCTGGGGGCTCTGCCTGAAGGGCAGCCCAGAGTGCTGCAGCTGAGCTGGTGTTGCTGCTTCTCCAGTTCACCCTTTTCCAAGCCTCTTGGGGCTGTTTGAATATCAAAACCATTGCAAGTCCCAGCCTTCTGCTGCAACCTGGCCTCTTCAGAGGGGAGGATGTGAGCTGGGCTCAGGATCTTGGTCCAGCTGTGACACCTGAGAGTGTGCCCTGGAAAAACTCTGCTCAGAAAACCTGGCTTTTCCTGGGCTGGTGCCTTTGCACCCGTGCTGTTCCTGACCCTGCTGAAATTTAACTTGCAGCATGGGAGCAGCAGCTTTTACAGCTGGGGATGTGAATTTCCCTCCCTCCAGCTTCAGCTGTGTTATGTGCTACAGTTACCTCCTTAATGGATGTTTTCTTCCCCAGAAGTGGTTGCTTTTGAAATGTACAGAGTGTACACACTTGGCAAAGGGAAAACTCCATCTGCAGCACGTTCCCATCAGCTGCAGACCCCAGCACAGAGGGGTTTTTAATGCCCAGCACTCCTTTAGGGAGCTCTTACAGCAGTGGATCAGCTGAGTGCTCCAATAAGTGTCTTCAGTGTGCACTTTGTTTTTCCTCCTTGGCTGGGGCCAAAGAGGGCGTGGGGGGTGTGAATTAAACCCTGGGGGCAATGCCTGTCCTTCGAGGCCTCTGCTCCTGGCCAAGGGCACGTTTCCCCTGCCCTGTCAGTGCTGTCAGGGCACAAAACCACCCTGCAAGCAGCGCTGGGGCTCTGCTGCCAGGGGCTGGGCTGGCTGCTGTCTCTCTGGGAGACTCAGCTGCAATTCCTGCTCTGGGTTCCTTTCTTTCCTGCTGGATTTTAGGGCAGTGAAACATGGTCTTTATCTTGCCAGGGCTGAAGTCTTCTCCCTGCTGTTGTAAGTGGTGCTGTGAGCACATCAGGAAAGGAAAATTTTAAAGGAAAACTCAAATTTGTTTTGTAAGAACGTCTTGCTTTGTGTCTGGCTGCTGACAGGGCTGTAAGCCACGGGGTCTGCTCCGGAAGCGGCGTGCAGGGTGTTATCTGTCCTTTCCACGCTGCTTCCTTTCCTCCTTCCTCCTGAAGAACAAAGATATAAACACAGAGCTGAAGAGATGCAGGGGAAAAAATGGGATAACCAGCCTGCTGCCCAGGGGAAACCACAAATAACAGCCTGGGAGTAAACAGTGCTGACAGCTCAGCTGCAGCTCTGGGAAACTTGCTGTGTTTGGGATCCCGAGGGCTGGACGTGGCACCAACAGCAAAGGGTTAAAGGCACGTGGGGCTGAGCAGGTAGAAACCCTGCCTGCCGTTCTAGGGGTGTTTTTAAATGTATTACAGGCAATTAGCTGTCCTAATCCAGCTGGAGCCTGTGGGCAGCTGCTGTGGAGTTCATGGAGCTCTGGAACTCGCTCTCAGCCCTGGGCTGGGATCCTGCCCTTTGTTTTCACAAAGGAGGGCAGCAAAAGTCAGCACAGGCTGGATGTGAGCTCAGAGCTCTGGCCTGTGGGATCACCTCCTGATTTCCCTGCTCCCAGGCTGGCTGCCCAAGCCCTCTGGCCACGGTGGGCTCCCCCCTCACGCTGCCTTTCTGTGCCTCTGACACGGCTCTTTATTACAATGGGATTTGCAAAGCCTCTGTAAATCATTTGCATTCAGAACCAAAAACCGGGCAGGGGAGGCGGATGCAATTAAAGGGCAGCTCAGCTCAGCTCAGCTTTCCGTCTAGACAGCCCTCTCCTAAAATAACCAGCAGTGGGAGCATCCACCTCGCAGCAGAAAGGCTCCTCTCGGCCGGATCCCGTGGCCTTTGCATCACAAAGGGCTTGGCTTTCTGGTCCTTGGCTTTCTGGTCCTTGGCTTTCTGGTCCCTGCAGGGCTTGGCTCCGGCTCAGCCGTGCCCGGAGCTGGGAAGGGGTGAGAGGAGAGCTCAGTTTCCCGAGCCGGGAGGGGAGGGGATGGGATGGGAGCCCTGTGTGTGCTGAGGGATGGAGGGAGGTCAGCTCAGCACTACACATCCTCCAGCCACCTGGAGGTGGGATCTGAGCAAGGATTTAGGATGATGTTGGTGGTGCTGGAGCTGCCTCATCCCATTCCCAGAGCTGAAGGGGCAGGTGGGGCTGAGGCAGGGGGGATTTCCCTGCCCGGCTACCTGAGATGGGGGAATTCCACTGGACATTGTGGGTGCTCATTGCAGTGAAATCCACCCTGGGATTTCCTGCAAGCAGCAGCCGCTGCACAGAGCCGGGTGCGCTGGAGTGAGGGAAGGGCAGCAGCTGGAAGTGGGAGCTGTGACAGGGAGGGGAAGGACCAGGCTGGCTCTGAGGAGCAGGAGCTGCTCTGGGTGCTTCCAGAGCTTTGGGAGCAGGGGCTGCGTCTGCTCCTTTGCCTGATCATCCCGAGACAAGAGGCGGAGGCCAGGGGTAGAAATCCTGCTCCAAAGGCAGACACGGACGTGCCTGGGTGGCACGGGATGTTCCTGCAGCCGTGGGTTTGCTGGCAGTGCCACGGGTCACCACTGCCACCCCCGCTGAAGGCTGGCTGTGCCTCATCCTCGGTCCAAACCCCCTCCCCAAGGGGGGCTCACAGGGATTCTGGGGGGACGTGGGGTCACTTCTGTGGGGCAGACCTTGCCCTGGGCAGCCCTGATGGCCCCGTGTGCTGCTCCCAGGTTGGAGGTGGCTGAGCTGAAGGGCAGCTTTGTTTGGGAGCTTTGTTTGGAAGTTTTTCCACTTCAGCCATTTGCTGCAGGGAGCCTATTCCACAGGCAGAGGACTGAAATTGGTGGGAGTAAAAGTGTGGCAGGAACACGGGGCTGAGTCTGAGGCTTCAGTGCTGCCCCTTCCCATCTGGGGATCCAGCCCCAAGCAGGGTTTTTCTGCCTTTCACTGGGTGGCTTGTGCCTCAGTTTACCTGCACTGAGTCCTGCATTTTGATTTCAAACCCTCCAAGGGAAGGGGAAGGCAGAGGTATCTGTGAGCACTGCCTCTTTCTGCCAAGCTGCAGCAGCTCACGGCATGGAGCTGCATTTTGCTTGTTTATTTATATTTTTGTTACGTGGGGTTTACACACCCACTAAGCCTGGAAATAGCTGAGCAGTGACTCACACGGGCTGGTTTAACTGGTCTGCTCTGGGACACAGCTGTGCTTGGCAGCTGGGGAGGACTTCCAAAGGGCTCAGCTCCACAGGGGCAGAGGGTGTTCTGCTTCCCGTGTGTTTACTTGCCCTCGGAGCTCGGCCAGCGCGGTGTGCCAGAGCTTGGTGCTCGTGGCTTTGGTGTTTGCAGCACATCCCAGCAGCCAGGGCTGGGCTCTGGTGTGCCAGAGCTTGGTGCTCGTGGCTTTGGTGTTTGCAGCACAGCCCAGCAGCCAGGGCCGGCACCGAGCTGGGGGAAAGGCTCTGTCTGCCCTTTGCAGGTCAGGGTTTTGTCTCTGCTCTGCTTTGTGGCAAACGCTCCCGAGGCAGTGCCCAGGCCTGTGATCCGTGGCATTCCAGCAGCTGATCCGTGAAATCCCGGAGCAGCGTGCCCGTGCTGGGGGTCTCAGAGCTGGGGCACAGCCCCCAGCTGCCCCCAAAGCCCGCGGGAGCCAGGCTGGGCTGGTGGCAAGGCCATGGGCACAGCAGGGGCTGCACGTGCCCGCGCTGAGGTGTCTGTGTGTCCGTCTGTCCCCAGAATGGCTGCAGTCTGTCCAGGCCATGATGATCCTCTCCGTCATCTTCAGCGTGCTGTCGCTGTTCCTGTTCTTCTGCCAGCTCTTCACGCTCACCAAGGGCGGCCGCTTCTACATCACCGGAGTGTTCCAGATCCTGGCGGGTGAGGGGCTGGGGGTGGCACTGCCACCTGCCTCTGGCACCAGTGCCACCGCGGGCAGGGGGGCCTGGAGGGGGGAACAGCTCCTGGGGCACCCAGCAGCCAGGGCTGGGCTCTGGTGTGCCAGAGCTTGGTGCTCGTGGCTTTGGTGTTTGCAGCACAGCCCAGCAGCCAGGGCCGGCACCGAGCTGGGGGAAAGGCTCTGTCTGCCCTTTGCAGGTCAGGGTTTTGTCTCTGCTCTGCTTTGTGGCAAACGCTCCCGAGGCAGTGCCCAGGCCTGTGATCCGTGGCATTCCAGCAGCTGATCCGTGAAATCCCGGAGCAGCGTGCCCGTGGCTGGGGGTCTCAGAGTCGGGGCACAGCCCCCAGCTGCCCCCAAAGCCCGCGGGAGCCAGGCTGGGCTGGTGGCAAGGCCACGGGCACAGCAGGGGCTGCACGTGCCCGCGCTGAGGTGTCTGTGTGTCCGTCTGTCTCCAGAATGGCTGCAGTCTGTCCAGGCCATGATGATCCTCTCCGTCATCTTCAGCGTGCTGTCGCTGTTCCTGTTCTTCTGCCAGCTCTTCACGCTCACCAAGGGCGGCCGCTTCTACATCACCGGAGTGTTCCAGATCCTGGCGGGTGAGGGGCTGGGGGTGGCACTGCCACCTGCCTCTGGCACCAGTGCCACCGCGGGCAGGGGGGCCTGGAGGGGGGAACAGCTCCTGGGGCACCTCGGGAAGGGAAGGGAAGGGAAGGGAAGGGAAGGGAAGGGAAGGGAAGGGGATGAATAGTTTGGGGGTGTTGAGGATGGGATCCTGGGATGGGCCGTTGTGCCTCCAGGCTCTTGTGCCCTTGCACAGGGAAGGTGCAGGAGGGTTTCTGCCCCAGCCAGGGGGGCTCTGGAGGGACAGGGTGCCAGAGCACTGGGGCACAGCTGGGGCAGTAGATCACAGGGGTGCTGGAAGGAGAGCTCTGCCTGCTCCCCAGGCTGGGATGTTGGGTGTCCAGGGTGGCTCTGCTGGCTCTGGGAGCCTTCAGCAGGCTGGGTGAGGCTTCCACAGCTGCTGGTGGGGTGGGGAAAGTTGTGACAATCCTGTTTTGGCAAAAGAGGGCTTGGTGATTATTTATAAACTTGCCATGAGGGGGCCGGTGCTTTCCCCATGAGCACAGAGCCCTGGAGCTGCAGGGTGAGCTCTGACTTGGACTGTCAGCTGCTATTTTTAACTCTTTGAGAACTCAGGGCTGGAAAGGAGCCAGGGATCACGTCCTAGGCTGCAGTTCACCAGGTTCTGATGCAGTAAAGCCACTGGCTCTGTTTATGTTTCCATGTATAAAACCAGTGGAGAGGATTTTCAAGAGTTCAAGCTAAAAAATGTAATGGTGCTTCGAGGTCCTGGCTGCATTAGGACAAAGTGTCTGGGCAGGAGACTGATTCTTTCCTGGAGCTTCAGAAGTTAAACTAGAACCACCCGAGGTCCTGCTATTTTATCAGCGGAAAAACTCATTCACTGAGCTTAGACTTTAAACTTTCTGGGCATGCTCTAAGCAACTGGCCTTCCCAAACCCTGGCACAATCCAGAGCTGAGCTTTATTGGCATGAATTCCGTGATGAGTGGATCTGCTTGGCCACAGTGCTGAGTTCAGATCAGTTCACCATCTCTGGAAAAAGAGATGCATGGAAACCCCTTAGAGCCACGGAGCCAAGGAGGGAAAATGGGCATTAATAATGCAATTACCTGCAATTAGCTCTGTGAGAGCTTCTCTAATAGACCTGAGAGCAGAAGGCTTCTCTCTCCTGAGTGGTGCTGGTGAGCCCTCACTGTCAGAGGCGGAGAGCAGGGGGTTGCAAGGCTCCCGAAGGCAGGCCCTGCAGGGGTGGTGGGTGCATTACTGCTTGCAGCTGGCTGCAGCTGGGCCTCCCTGCCCAGAGCAGGGCAGGTGCCCCAGAAGAGCAGTCACAGCCATCACCTCTGGCCAGCCAAGGCCCTGGGCAGACAATGGCCGCTGTATGTGGCGCTCTGGAGGTGAGCGGGTGGCCACACGCCCGTGCCCTGTGCCCCAGACAATGGCTGTGCTCTCTGTGCCTGCCCGGGCAGTGGGAGTTGGATCCCGTGCTTGCAGAATGGAAACGGCTCCAGCGGCGCCTTCACGAAGTGAATTCCCACTTGTGCACTTTCCCTGAACAAAGGAGCAGTGTCAAGTGGAATTACAGCTCAAATATCACCGTGCTGAAATGTAGGTGGTCCTGAGGGCCGGGCAGGGGATTTGGAACTCGGCTCCAACAACAGCCCCACGGCTGGATAATGGAACTACAGGGATTGACTCAAAGAGCTTGTTTGGGGCGGGAATAGAGGTGGCTTTGTGTGAGCTCCGGGCGGTGCCCACCCCTGATGGGGCGTTGGCAACAACGCTTCAACGCTGCCCACCGGGGCTGGGCACCCCGGGGACCCCCACGGGCCCTGGCTGGGCAGGAGGGATGAGCCATGGGCACGGAAGGGTCTGCAGGGAGCTGGGGTTTCAAGGAGCAAGGTTTGTGGGGAGCAGGGTTTTCAGGGAACAGGGTTTGTGGGGAGCAGGGTTTTCAGGGAACAGGGTTTGTGGGGACCAGGGTTTTCAGGGAGCAGGGTTTTCAGGGACACAAGGTTTTCAGGGACCAGGGTTTTCAGGGAACAGGGTTTTTGGGGAACAGGGTTTGTGGGGAGCAGGGTTTTCAGGGAACAGGGTTTGCTGGGAATGGGGTTTGCAGTTGAGCTCCTGGTGCAGCTGTGAAGGATGGGGGATCACAGCCAGAGTATCCTGAGGCCCAGCTGGGTTTTTATCACCTAGAGAGGTGGTACAGAGTCCTGGCTTTGAAGGCCCAGCTCTGTGTCTGCCCTCCTGCAGCACTGCAGGGAGGTGGCTCAGGCCAGGGTTTCACCAGGGGAGCAGGGTTGGTCTGGAGCAGCATCCCTGGTCTGCCTGAGGGATGGCTTAGCCCAGGTGATGCTCCAGCTTTGTCTGCTCCAGAGCCTCTGGCTTTGCTTGCTGAGCATGGCAGAGACATCACAGCACCCGCTCCCGAAACTCCCAGGGACAGGGGGATCCAGGGGGGCAGAGCAAAGCCAGCTCCCGTGCTGCTGCTGGCTGCTGTCCTGTGTGACTCGGGGTCCCAGCAGGGACTGGCCGGTGCCATCACTGACTGTCCCTGTGCCATCACTGACTGTCCCCGTGCCGTCACTGACTGTCCCTGTGCCATCACAGACTGTCCCTGTGCCATCACTGACTGTCCCTCTGCCATCGCTGACTGTCCCCGTGCCATCACTGACTGTCCCCGTGCCGTCACTGACTGTCCCCTGTGCCATCACTGACTGTCCCTGTGCCATCACTGACTGTCCCCGTGCCATCGCTGACTGTCCCCGTGCCGTCACTGACTGTCCCCGTGCCATCACTGACTGTCCCCTGTGCCATCACTGACTGTCCCTGTGCCATCACTGACTGTCCCCGTGCCATCACTGACTGTCCCCGTGACATCGTTGACTGTCCCTGTGCCATCACTGACTGTCCCCGTGCCGTCACTGACTGTCCCTGTGCCATCACTCACTGTCCCCGTGCCGTCGCTGACTGTCCCTGTGCCGTCACTCACTGTCCCTGTGCCGTCACTCACTGTCCCTGTGCTCCCCCGCAGGGCTGTGTGTGATGAGTGGCGCTGCCATCTTCACAGTGAGGCACACGGACTGGCACCAAGCCTCGGAAAACACCTCCTACGGCTTCGCCTACATCCTGGCGTGGCTGGCCTTCCCCCTGGCCCTGGCCAGCGGCATCGTCTACGTCATCCTGCGGAAGCGCGAGTGACGCCGCGGGACGCGCCCCGCGTGACCGGGGCACTCGCGACGTCCCCGCAGCAGACGGAGGCGGGGGAGCATAGACGAGAAAACGGAAAAGAAAATTAACCAAAAAATCAAAAAACAAAAAAAAAAGGAATAAACCCTCCCATCCAAACCAAACCCAACCGACCCCCAGAGGAAACACTCAAAGGGTTCCTTGTTAATTGAAGATGTATATAGTATCTATGGTTTAAAAAACCTATTTATAACACTTTTTACATATATGTACATAGTCTTGTTTGCTTCTGTTGACCATGCGCTGTTTTAAAGCCTAAAGCAAGTGCCTAAGGACCTCTCACTCCTAACAGTGTAACAAGAGCGCAGTGATTTTTCTCTCGTGCAAAATCCTCTTTGAGCTGAACTCTCCTGCCCTGTCCCAGCCCGTCAGAGCCCCCAGCTCTGGTTTTGGGCTGGCGTGGATCAGCCACGCCTGGTTCTGCAGCCGGAGGGCTGGGCCCTGCTCCTGCCACACGCTGTGATCCACAGGGCATGTCCAGATCTGACGGGAGACGCTTCCAAAAGGTTTGAAGGATTTCGGAGCAAAGGCTTTGATTGCCCCAAGTGCCTAAATGACTTATGTGCCTAAGTCCCACTGCCTTGCCGCCACACCCGCTGGGAATTTGGGCTTTTAAATCACTTAGGCCGAGCTGCAATCCAGCCCGGGCCGTCCTCCCTCGCTCGGCTGCCGGGGCTGGGCTGTGCCGAGCTCTGGGAGCTGCTGCTCCCAGCCTGGAACGTGCTCTGCCCTTGCCATGGAGCTAAACTGCCCCGAGAAGGCAGCCAGCCCAGTCTGTCCCTGAAATCCAATACCAGATGTATGAAATGGTGCTATCTATTTACCATTCCTTGCCCTGCTACGCCATTTAACCTTAGTCACTGGAAATTCAGTTAACGACCTTGAGGTAAACAACCAAGCTAGAAATGAGAAATAATTCTGTGTAATATAAATGAGCTATAACTGCTTTTGTACTTAGATTTGCTCTTACTATTATTTTTAATAAAGCATTTATAACCAAGATTCCTTTTTCCCCTCCGTGGTGCAGAGGATCAGAAGCAGCTCTGGCTGGAGCCCGTGGGGCTCTGGCACAGGAGCGAGATGTGAGTCCTCTGTCTGTCAGCAACGAGTCTGGCCATGAATGGAACAGGCACCAGCACAGACCCCGGGCTGCCTCTGAGGACTCCAGACACTGTTGCTTTTTCGATTAATCTTAGGGTTTTTTGGGGTTCTACTTTTTTTTTTTTTTTTTTTTTTTTTTTTTTTTTTGCTTTGCTTTTCTGATTTTATACCGACTGTGTGGACTAAGAAGCAATGAAATAAAAGTCAGAATAACTCAGGTGCTTCTGCTTGTTGGGGTTTTGGGGGTTTAGAGGTGGACTCTGCTCCACCAGCCTGCTTGCACAGCCATCCCATGGCATCATGGAATCACAGAGTGATTTGTGTTGGAAGGGACCTCGAAGCCCATCCTGTTTCCCTGGCTGTCCACCTGGGCTGCAAACACACAGCTCAGCTCGGTGGGGACAGGAGCTGCTGGGTGACCCCTGCACCAGGGTGCTTTGGCACCTCCTTTGCCCCTTTCCCCCATTATCCCCCCATTATCCCCCCGTTATCCCCCCGTTATCCCTCATTATTTCCCTGTTATTTCCCCCGTTATTTCCCTGTAATTTCCCTGTTATCCCCCGTTATTCCCCCTGTTATTTCCCGTTATTTCTCCATTATTTCCCTGTTATTCCCCCCGTTATTTTCCCGTTATTTTCCCGTTATTTTCCCATTTTTCCCTTCGTTATTTCCCTGTTATTCCCCGTTATTATTCCCCCGTTATTCCCCCATTATTCCCCCATTATCCCCCCGTTATTTCCCAGCCCGTTCCCGTCGGTCCCGGCCGAGCGCGGAGCGCGGGCGCCCTCCGGTGGCTGCGGGGGGAGCGGCGGCCGCGGGACCCCGAGCCCCGCCGGGCCGGGGGACAAACACGGGCTTGGGGACACACACAGACGGGATGTGGGCACTGCCAGCCCAGTTTGGGGTTCATCCCCTCCCCAGTTCCTCTGCACAGGGATGTGGCACCACCAGCCCAGTTTGGGGTTCATCCCCTCCCCAGTTCCTCTGCACAGGGATGTGGCACCGCCAGCCCAGTTTGGGGTCCATCCCCTCCCCGTGCGCTGCGCTCCCCACGGCTGGAGCAGCCCCGGAGTCACGGCGGCATCAGGGCAGGAGCAGCCTTCCTGCCCGATCAGCTGTGAGCACTCAGAGCTAAACGAGTCTCCGAATTTCAGCGCTCCCTGGGGCTACAGCCCAATTAAAATCCGAACAGCCCATAAAGCAGCGAGCAGAACACAACAGCAGCAGCGCGGCACTGAACGGCAGAGGGGTGAAAAAAATATTAGGGAAGTTTCTTTAATGTGTGTTGTGTCATAAAAGCAATTGTTTAAATGGCTTTTGCGGCGTTCTCAGCAGTAAATACTGCTGGAAAATGCGCTGAGCAAATCTCCTCTCCCCCTTTCTTTTACTGCCTTGTAAATTGAAAAATTACGGTGGGAATTGGAGCCGTGGGTGCCCGGACACAGCTGCGGCTCCGGCCGGGCGGGGGCGGCCCCGGCCCGCGCACCGAGAGAGCTCCGGGAGCCGGGCCGAGCTGTGCGGGACCGAGCCCTGGCCCGAGGGACCCGGGATATGGGATACGGACCCGGGATATGGGATACGGGACCCGGATATGGGCAGGACACGGCTCGGCCCCAGCCGGGCTGCAGCAGCCGAGCCTGGGCAAAAGGATTCCCTCTGCCCGCTCAGGTGAGACCCCAGCGGCAGAGCTGCTCCAGCCCTGGATCCATCCTCTGCTCCAGCCCTGGGATCCATCCTTTACTCCAGCCCTGGGATCCATCCTCTTCTCCAGCCCCGGGGTCCTGGCTGAGCTCTGGATCCATCCTCTCTGCTCCCACCCTGGGATCCTGGCTGAGCTCTGGATCCATCCTCTCTGCTCCCACCCCGGGGTCCTGGCTGAGCTCTGGATCCATCCTCTCTGCTCCCACCCTGGGATCCTGGCTGAGCTCTGGATCCATCCTCTCTGCTCCCACCCTGGGGTCCTGGCTGAGCTCTGGATCCATCCTCTCTGCCCCCACCCCACCGCCGAGGCTGTTCCTGCCTTTCCAGCCTCCCTAAGCTCCCAGCATGAACAAGGCACTTCCCCCAGGCTGATGAAAGGATAAAAGCTCCGTGTTGTCCCTGGTTTATTTGCTTCCTGGGGGATAATTCAACACATTTAGCTTTCCCCAAGGGTGAGTTTTCCTGGGGGGAATCTTTGGCTGGCACTTTGCAGGATGGTTTTATTGCTCTCTGCAGGCGCTGGGTGGGGAGAGGTTTATTTTAAAGTCCTTTGACTGCTTCATTACAGTCTTTGTCGGTCATGTCTCCTTTCATATCCACTTTTTCAGCTGTCATTTCCCAGGGCTCCCTCTTATCTGCCTTTGGAGGCAGCCCTTGTAAAAAAAAAAAAAAAAAAAATTAAAAAAGGAAAATCAAACCTCAAAGCTCTGTCCCTGCGCTGCTTTCAAGAGAAAGGCCCCTGCCCCTTTCAAACCTCTTTTGGGAGGAATAGATCCCAAGCCGGCGTGCGCCACAGCCCCCAGGAAAGCCTTTGAAGTAAATTAAACCAAATTAGTGTCTATGATATAGATGAGCAGAGGGGCCCCCGCTGTGTCCCCGCCCGGCCCTTGGTGTAATCTTTAACCCCTGTCCCTGCTCCCCTCGCCTCTAATTGACCGTGAAGCGCCTGGGGGTGGCTTGGGGGGCTCCCATCTGCCCTGTGCAGGGCAGGACCCCACTCCGAGGGGATGGGGGGGTTTAATAGGCTGAGCGAGGCTGGGATAATGAATTACCTCGACCTCCCCTTCCTTGTGCTCAGCGTCCAATTCTGCTGCTTTTTCTCTCTTATTCCCACTAATGAGAGCCCCCCTGGGCCCAGGGGCATCCCAGCCCTTCCCCAGAGCCCCGGGCGTGCTGGGGGAGCTGGAGCTGCTCCTGACCCGGCTCAGCCTGGGAGCAGGTGGGGCAGGAGGCTCCTGAGCCCGGCAGGGAGGCCTTTCCCAGTGTCCCCCGGCTGTGACCGACCCAGGGGGGCTTTCCTGATGTCCCAGGGCTGTGACACACCCGGGGTGGCATTTCCCAGTGTCCCCAGGCTGTGACAGCCCTGTAAGGTGGGCAGCTCCTCAGGGGGGTTCCCAGCCCCCCAACACTGTGACAGCTCCTCAGGTGGGGTTCCCAGCCCCCTAACACTGTGACAGCTCCTCGGGGGGTCCCCAAAGGCTCCCCCGGCCCCTGGTGTGCCCCACCCAGCACTGCAGGGCCAGGCTGCCTCTGGCATCAATGGGGCTGAGCTGTGCTGGCGTTTCTTTGGTCAGGACATGTCGTGGTGGGGATTTGGGGTGTGTGAGGGGGATTTGAGGGTCCTCTGCCCTGCCGGGCTGGGAAAGTAGCACGGGGCGATCTTGCAGGCTGGGCAGGCTCAAGGGAAGCCCAGGGATATTTGCATATGCAAATTACACTACACCTGTGGAAGAAATTATTTATGTTTCCTCCCCTGTCCCAAGGGCCTGCCCGGATCCCCCTGAGCCACCACCAACGTTTGGGGTTCACCAACCCACAGCAGGGTCACCTGCTCCTCTTCCTGAGGGGGCTCAGAGCAAACCTTGGGGACCCCCTTGGAGCAGCTGTCCTGGTGCTGGAGCATCTTCACGCGGTGGCAGCAGTGTGCAGAGGGCTCTGGGCTCAGCTGTGGCACCAGCTGCGCTCCCTGGCACGGAGGGACAGCAGGGCTGGCCTCGGCAGGGCAGGGATGGCAACGGGAGCACCAAATTTGCTGGTGATGCTGCAGGGCTGCCTGACATCCCTGGTGTGGGGGAGGATGTCCCCAGTGCCACGGCAGCCTGGCACGGTCCCCTCGGGCTGGCCTGGAGCGCTCGAGGCAGCGATTTCGGTGCGCACAGCCTCCACAAGGCTGCATGTTTGATGAGTATACCTATAAATAAATCAGGGCCAAAGGCAGTCGTGCAGCACGAGTGACCCCGCGGAGGGGAGAGCGGAGCAGAGCAGCCCCGAGCCCGGCGCGGGCGGGAGGGGGCGGTAGGGCCCCGCACAGCCGGGCCGGAGCGCTCCGGGAGCCGCGCTGGAGCCGGGCCGGGATGTGGGTTACCGCCCGGTGACCGCCCTGGCGGGACACGGCTGTCAGGAGAGCCGGGCTGGGGCGCTCAGAGTCATCCCTGCCCTGAACGAGCTCCCAGGGCATCCTCCTCCTCCTCTCCCCGGAGCTAGAGGAATAAAGCCAAACCCGGGCATTTGCAGCCCCTTCCTGCTCTGGATTCCAGAAGCATTTTTACTTTAAAGCAGCAGCTTTGTGGCTGAGCATTCTCTTGAACACGGAGCAGCTCAGACTGTGCTCAGCCTGGCCAGCACAGCCTGTGGGGTTGGTTTTTGGGGTGAACTGGTTCATTTGCAGAGTGGATTCGTGTCCTGCCAGAGCCTGGTGCTCAGCCCTTGCTGGGGCTCTGTGGGGAGCTCGCACAGATTTCATCCAGCCCTGGGCTTCTCTGACGAATGCCTGGGAAAATCCAGCAGTACCGTGGGGGGGTTTAATCCAGGGCAGATGGGAGAGCCAAGAAATGTCTGTGAAAGCAAAGAGTGTCACCAGGCAGGCGTGCAGTGGGTGAAGGGATTCCGGGCAGGTGGCCCTCGCTCCAGGTCACACACACACAGGGGTATCTTGGAACATCAGGCACGGTCTGAGACTCCCCTGATGGGAAACATGGATTTGGACCCAGGAAATGCAAGGGGAGACATTCTAGCTGTGAATCAGAGCAGCAAAAGGAATTTCTCCTTGCTGAGGGTGGTGGGAGGAATTATTGGTGGCTTTAAGTGGTCTTAGTGAATTCTTCAATTGCTCAGAGCAAAGAGACATGAGGAGAGGAAGGAAATGACAAGAATAAATCCGACTGGCATCTTCCCAGGGATCTGCAGGATTTCCTGGTGTGCCAGGGTCACCAGGCATTTGTGCCTTGGCTTTGATCTTCACAGGGGTGGGCAGTGCCCTCGATAAGCATCCTGCTGCTCTGCCCAAACTGCTCTCTCTCGTCCCACCGAGACAGGCTGAGCTCTCCCAGGCCAACTGGGATCAGCACCCAGGGGCTGCATTCAGCCAGAATTCAGCCAGAGCTGCAGGATCCCTCTGCTGCTGCATCCCCCAGTGCCCCCAGCAGCAGCCAGCGCTGAGTGATGCTTCCCCTGCTGCCTCCTGGGAAGGCTGGATCCCAGCAGTGCCCCCCAAACCTGCCCAGGGGAGCTGGGGCA